GCCCATTGCCACCTCATGCCCGGGGTCTGCCAGCTGCTGCCTGCTCGCCCAGGGCTCTCCCACTGCCTTCTGGTGTGCCCGGTGCCCCTGCTTTTTTTTGCCGTGAACTCGCTCCACCCGTCTGCCTGACTCTGCCCCGCCTACTGATCTGGATGAATGTGTCTATTTGAACTCCTTGATTGTTGGATTTCCATACAGTTCAATTTTCTGTCAGTTCTGGTTGTTATTTTGTTTGTAAATTGTTGTCCTTATTTTGATTGTGCGAGGAGGCCCAGTGTGTCTACCTATGCCTCCATCTTGGCTGGAAGTCTAAGATTTATTAATTCTTAATAAATGAATGATACTGGCATCCACGCTCTATCTCTGTGTGAAATGGTCTTATATTATTTCAAGGTCAGTAGTGCCAAAGAGATGACAATTTCACCCTCTCTTACTCATTTAGGGTATTGCAATGTATTATAATTTAAATATAGTCTAGAGGTTATATGATCTAATTTCAGTTAATCTAATTCTTCAAAATGGGCAGATGGCTTTAAAAGGTTGTTTCAAAGGTAACTAATGATGAAGTGGTAGAAACTGTTCTAAGTGCTATGTGCAGATTATTCATTTACCGTATTTTTTGGACTGTAAGACAACCCCCCCCCCCTCGTTTGGGAGGAATAGTGGTTGTTAATGCTGCTGTTGAGTTCTGTTTACATTTACATTGGTGAAATATTACGTTATTTATGTAATTAAATATTTTACTACATTTTTGCTTCAAAAATTTTTTTTCTATTTTCCTCCTCTAAAACCTGGGTGTGTCTTATGGTCCAAAAAATATGGTAATTCTCTAGAAGATTCTAAGAGATAAGTGCTGTCATAAACCCCATTGTACAGGTGGAGAGCTGAAGCGCAGAGTAGCTTAATCATTTCCCATGGTCAGGCTGCAGAACCGAACTCGCACTTGAACAGTTCGGCTTCGTGCGTCAGATATGCCTAGCTGCCGTGCTGCGCTGCTCATGAGGCAGATGGTTACTGACTAAGTCGCAACAGATTTGGTGCATAAGGATTGCAAGTTTAGTACTATAATATAGGAAGTAAATGCCACCAAGGAGACTCTTTTCCACTTGGATCTATGTATGTATCTTTGTGAAAGTACCTTTTTCAACTTTGATGGCCATTCAAACCACGTATCCAAATAACCCAGACTATCAACTCACTGCATTAAAATCTATAACCCACAGCTTACCATAAAAAGTATACTCATTTCAACTTTAGTGAAATAAAACAATACTGTAACCTAAGTTTAAAAGGTTCACTTCATCTTATTCACATTTGTTATATTTTCAGTGTTCACAATGTAGTACATACATAATTCATGTATTAGGGATGTGTGCTTAAATGATCTTATTGATGGGGATATAATAAATATTTGTGGGGGACCTATTTTAAGATGTAGAGAAAAAGACTTTAGAGAAAGCAAGGTAGGTCATAGTGTTCAGTATGCAGTTGAAAAAAATCAATGATCAGGCTGGAGGAACGTGACGGCCTTTAACAGTTGTCTCCCTGATTTTAAGTCTAGTCATATTTTTGATTGTCAGAACCAGCTATGAAAGCGCAGGGTAGATTTCAACCCTGAAGAATGTCTTTTGCAGAAATTGAGCATTCAAAAACCAAGAGCATAGAGGTAATCATCCCAGGCACCCTTTTGCCTGAGTATTTACTTCAGAGATACAGTTTTAGGTTTTAGGAACTAAATGAAAGTTACTACTAAAAATCAAGGAAATTGAAGAAGTTTCAAGTTATGAATAAGATAAAAAGCATATTATAGAGAAATATTTCAGCCTTTAATGTTTCTTTAGTGGGACTGATGAAGGTAAAGTAAAAGAAGACCATACTAGATAACCTCAAAGAATTGATTATAATGTTAACAATTTCTTGATATTCAGAAGATGAGTAAGGGCTGACCTCCAGCACAGTGTACAAATACAGACCCCCTAGTCCAGTTTCTTGGCCCACCCCATTTGCTTCTTGTTTGCCTTTTTATAAGCACCATATTTTGGGCTGTAAGATGTGCCTCAGTTTTAAAGCAGGAATATTGGGGGAAAATTTGAAGCAGAACATGTGGTAAAATATTTAATAACATAAATAACATATTTCATCAATGTAAATGTAAACAGAACTCAACAGCAGCATTAACAACCATTAGTCCTCCCAGATTGGTGGGGGGGTGGGCTTTGGGATAGCCCCAAAAATACATAGATCACGTTTCATCGTGAAATTTTGCAATATACTGTGAGATGCTGTCTTTTGTTTTTATCTGCCTCCTCTGTGGAAGTCTTTAGAGTGTCCTGTTGCTTATTCTTTAATTAAAATGTCAAACTATGGAGAGTATATGTTCTCTTCAAGCAGCCATAGCTTGTTGGTCACCGGAGTCATTAAGCTGTGGTACAGATACTAGTGTTTTTTAGACCAATATTGAGTAATTGGTAAGTTAATTTTTATAATTATTCTACTACAGGTGTCCTTAGCCTCTAGATAAACTTTACTGAAGTATATCCATAGTTATATTTATAATCAGTAATATTAATACACCATCATCATCCACTTCTTTTAGCATTAAAAGAAAGCCTTCAGAGCATCTGCCTTTATGAAACCAGTTCTTGTTGGCTCTTATTAGCAATATGACTAGATAAGTCATATATCTTCACGGGGCTCCTGTCCCTATTCCTGGTATTGTGGTATTGTTTAACTTGTTCCCCTAATCCTGAATGTCTTATAAATTGGTAATTAGATCCAGACACTTGACAAAAGTTGAGTGGTTTTGTTTTGTAAGTCAATACTACTTCTTAGTAGGTGCTGTATATTTCTTGGTGATTTCACATCACAAGACATAAAAGTTTGGTTGTTCATTATTAATGATGCGGGAATACATTGGGGGTTCTGGTCTGGAGCAGCCTTGCATTTTAAAGTTCCCTTTCAACCTTTAACCTAATGTTTTTAGTATCTACTGATAATTTCTGCCTGATCCATTATTTAGAAACATTTCTTCTGAATTTATGAACTAGAATTATTTTATAAACAAGAACTTCCTTTATCAACTGTTTGGGGCCTCCTGAAATAAAGTTCTTATAAGAAAGGCAAGATAAAACTGGCTTTCCTTTTATATGTTAACGTTACAACCTTCATTGGAGACTAATGAAGGTTGTTTTCTTTCATGTTATTATTAATTCATAGGTGTTTATGTAGTTGATGTGCTTTTTATTCATTGTGGTAAATCTTCTTGATGCAAGTTGGCTTTTGTATTCCCACTAAAAGATTTTCTAGGCTAATCTTGTACATTGTTCATTTCCTGTCCCAGACCTTGTATAACCTTCTCTACAAGGTGTCCTGGTTCCTTTTCATGAGAAAAAGGTTTTTGGAGGCTACAATATGGGTGCAGGGGAAGCTTATTGCTGCTAGGCCTTTTCAGAAGACAGACTTTTAACACACACCCACAATCGGCAAGAGTTTATACTCATATTTCTAATTCCAGTTTACGTTTATAAGGCATTTACTATATTTTTTGTTTTCTATATAAAAAAATTTTGTGCCTAAGGATATTAACATAACTCCTTGGTTACTTTGTCCTACAATATATCTATACTAGTTTTAAAATAATAATACTGATACATTAATTCTAACAGTATAACTACTGGGTGCTGTTTAAGATTTGTTTATTGTGTTTTTTTATTCCTACACTGTAATTCACTGGTATGTGTAGTAAAAGTTCTGTTTTGAAGTTGTTTGAAGTAATTCTTTTGTGTTTGTAGTTCTACCACCAACTTGATATACATTATGTTTTATTTATTTCTATTTGTTTACAGGAATTTCCCTTTTTTTCACTGAGTTTTTAAAAAATGGATAAAAGTAAGCTTTTTATAACAATGTATATTCACAGGAATCTCACTTCCATTTTTCTATATTCTTGTCCATCTTTATAAATATTTTCATTAGCTTTTACAGTAATTTATCTTCTCTTCATTTTTTAAATATAAGCCAACATGTACGTGTTTGTGGGCCTACATTTGACATGGTCAGTTGTTAAACACTCTTTTCTATCTAGCCTTTTAAAGTTAGTATATATGTGATGTCACCCCGTGGCCATGCTCTGAGAATTGTCGTTGTTCCTTTTTTATAGTATTCAGAGTACTCCCCGAACCCTCATTCAGTGACTTTTGGGAGTTTTATCAGCTGATATTGGGAGCCAGTGTCTGTTGGTAGGAAGAGAAAAGGAAGGCAATAAATGTTTATCAAACTGTGCATCATTTTTTCTGTAAGGTAGGATTATTTTCCTTAAAGAGGAAGAAATTGAAGCTCAGTAAGGTGTAGTGACGTACTCTAGATCACATGACCAATAAGAGGTTGCTTGCTAGCTAGTTCAGATTGTAACTGTGGGGCTAAAATTCATTTCTTTCTGTTAGAGCAAAAATAAGGGACCCAGCATATCTGTGGTTATTGGGTTGTTCTATTGATTATTTTTAATCTAATATGTCAGAGGATCTTTTTTTTGTTTGCTTATTTTTGGATGGCCCTTAAGAACCTAATTTTTTAAAAAATACCTCACTTTGTGTTCTTTTAAAGAATCTGTGAGTTATATTTTTAAATGTACCTATAAAATGCTTAGTATGCAACCAATACTATTAATAACAATGGGAATTTAAAAAGAATAAAATTATCTGGATTCTGAAACTTTAATCTTACTATTCAAATTATATAGTTCTTTAAATCAGTTTTCAGAAAGACCAGATTTATTGTATATATTTTCCTTCAATTTTTACCTGAAATGGATGCCTAGAGCATCTTTTAATGTTAAAATGGCTAATTTGCAGTCGATCATTATTTCTGTTCTCAGATACTGTTTAATTTATGAGGATCATAAATTCCCTATTTTTCTCTTTTCTCATCTATACACATGGAAATTCTTTCTCTTGAAAATGTGTTGTCCTTAACTTAACCAAAAAATTTTTTTTCTATTCTAGTTTGGGAATACCTGCTACTGCAATTCAGTTCTTCAAGCACTTTATTTTTGTCGTCCATTTCGGGAAAAAGTTCTAGCATACAAGAGTCAACCTAGGAAGAAGGAGAACCTTCTTACGTGCTTAGCAGATCTGTTCCATAGCATAGCCACCCAGAAGAAAAAGGTTGGAGTAATACCTCCCAAGAAGTTCATAACAAGATTACGGAAAGAAAATGGTAATCCCTTTACTTCTGAATGTATTGCTTACCTAACAGGAAGGTAAACTATAGCATACTGCAGTTCAGCAAACATTGCCTGAGCATCTTTGTGCCAGGTGATGTGTTTAGACACTGAAGACTCTAAGGTGATGTTCCCATCATTAAGGAAGGTTAGTTTAGTGAGGAGATAGTCAAACAGTAATTAATAAGCTGTGATTAACGTTTGAAGTGTGTTACATCAAGATCAGATTCTATATGCCAGGAAATGAGAAATCATAGAAATAATTTCTTTTTTTTTTCTTGCTTGTCTTTTCTGTCAAGAATGAACATTTTTTCACATTATTATTCATTTGTTGTTTTGTAATGCTTTTGTGTATTTAACTTATTTGATCATTATAGTAGTCCAATATACAGAGCATGTTTTTGCCCATTTTAACCATGAAAAAAGCTGAAAGCTACACCCTAGGGAAGGAAAGAACCAGAACAAATCCACTTTCTGACTTAAGATAGATAACTTTAGTCATTCCCCCTTCCCTTTAAAAATAGTTACTGATTAAACCCCACTTCCTTTTTCTCGGAATATTTTTAGTTTAATTTTTACAGCAAACCCACAAGTTAGACATTGTTTTATACTTTATATGAGATAATTGGGGCTCAGAGAAGTTAAGGTAACTGGTCCCACAACTTCTCCCTGACATGTAAGCCCAGTGTTTCATTTAATATGGTAATGCTACCTCAAACAACTCTGATGAGATTTAAATGATATGTAGAATTCGGGTTTTGTTTAAGGTGGGTATTTCAATCTTGTAGATATAAAATTGAGTGATATTTTTAGTTTAATTTTGTTGTCAAAGAGAAAGATACTCCACAGAAGTATGATTTGAGAAGTCTTTAAGGTTGGTTATTAAATACACCAATGGGTAATCCTGTCCTTAACTCAGTTGACATTGTTCATTATCACTTAAATTGAGATGTACCTGGGTCATATCTTACTTTCTGAAACATAAGATGATGCTGGAATAATATGGCTATAGGCTATTATTCTTGCATCTGATACATATGTTAAAGATTTTGTTTATTTTCTTTGTATGCCCCCCTAAAAATAGAGTAGTTGATTAATTGCTCACAAAAATTCATCTTTTTTTGTGTGTTTCTCTGATGAAAGCTAAACAGTGTTTATTTTCTTAGATTATAGATCTGTAGCATATTCTTACAGTTTTAAGAAAGCCAAATCTAACTGTTAGAATGTGGACTAGTGATTCAAGTCTATTGCTGTAACACTTTAAGAATTTTGTTTTGGATAACAAACTCACAACTATGAATAACTGAACCTAAAAGAAAAAAACAAAACCAAAAACAAACTAAGCAAACAACTAGAACAGTAACAGAATCACAGATGGAGATCACATGGAGGGTTATCAGCGGGGAGGGAGAGGGGGGAGAATGAGGAAAAAGGTACAAGGAATAAGTAGCATAAATGGCAGGTGCAAAATAGACAGAGGGAGGTTAAGAATAGTATGGGAAATGTAGAATACGAAGAAGTTATATGTACAACCCATGGACATGAACTGGGGAGGAATGCTGGAGGGCGTGGTGGTGCAGGGCTTAGGGGGAGAAAGGGGACAACTGTAATGGCATAATCAATAAAATATGCTTAAAAATTTAAAAAAATTGTTGTGGTGGAAAATTCATGTACATGAAAATTGAGCATGCCGTTGTGATTTTTGTTAGTATTTCAGAAACACAACATCAGAAACATGAAACTCACACAGAACACACATTTTCCTTTTCATTTAGTGTTACATTATTATCGACCTCAGTGTTTAATATACTGTATGTGAACTGTCTTAGTTTGGGAGGCTGTAATAAAAATACTCTAGACTAGGTAGCTTAAACAATAAAACATTTGTTTCCCACCTTTCTAGAGGCTGGGGAGTCCAAGATTAGGGTGCTGGCAGATTAAGTGTCTGATGAGCACCCTCCTCCCGGTTTGCAGACGGTTGGCAACTTTCTTGCTGTGTTGTCACACTGTAGGGTGGGTGGTGGCGGGAGGGTGAGGGGGCAAGCTTTCTCATGTGTCTCCTTATAAGGGCACTAATCTCAGCTCTCAAGACCTAAATGACCTCCCAAAGGCCCTATTTCCAAATAGTATCACATTGGGGATTAGGGTTTCAGTGTAGGAATTTAGGGGAGGGACACATGCATGCAGTCCATGACATCTGTAAGTGTACAATGATTTTTTTTTTAAATTTTAGATTGACTGTCACGTTGAACACAGAGTTCAGATTACTGTGTTTTAAAAGTTTTGTGTGGTTAAAGACCCATGGCTTTATTTGTTTGCTTCTTAAAGTGTTTATTATTTTTTAATTATTTGATAGTTTCTGAATTTTGTGTTTAAGCAAAGTAAATTGATGCACAGTAGATTCTTAAGTACTTTGTCGAATGAGACTGATTATAGAAGGAATATTCCAGACACACATGTTTTGTTTCATGTTTCTGTACTTCAAAAACAATATTTAATACAAAGGCATTTTTATTATTTTGATGCTGCTGGTATTTGTAAGTATGTTTTGAAATATATGTTTGCTTTTGAATTTTTCCTTGATAATTGTATAGAGAAGAGCATACAAATCAAAGGGGATTTCATAGGTTATCCATTGTGTAAATTTCCTTCTGAGATTTTGTTTGCCGGTTTGTTTTACATCTCTGTAAGAAATATGTTGCCCATTTTAATATTTCCTCTAACTTCACTGTTCTTAAATCAATTTCCTTCCATGTTACTGTAAAAACTTCATGTTTTATATTCTCAGTAGATATTAGCTCCATATTTTTAAACTACTATTGCCTTAAATAAAAAAAATAATTTTTATATTCTTCAGAAAGAATCTATTTTAATTTCAGTAATGAATTATTGTTTTTAAAATTTTAGTTTGTATCACCCAGTCTTGGCGTAATAGGACTGTGTACAGTGCTTTGAAGTACAGTGTGATCTCCTGTGCTCCATACATCATCTTTGATGAGGCAATACTAGCTGAATGCTGGAATTGTTCATTGTTATATATTGGTTCCTACTGTGTGCCAGGCACTGTGCAGAACTAGGGATACAGAAATAAGACGAAGCCTCTGCCTTCAGGGAGCTGACATTCTAGTGAGGAAGACAAACAGTAAACATTTATGTAATGTAGTGCATTGTGACTGATGAAAAACAAACCAGGGAAAGGGGATGGAGAATGAGGGAGTTGATTATTGGTGTTGGACCAGAGATTTGAAATGAGAAGCCATTGGAGACCTGAGGCAAAATTTTTCTAACCAGATAGAACAGAGATCGCAGTTGCCCAAAGTGCATAAAATACTTCAAGAGAAATAGAGTGGAGTAAGATGAAGATAAAGTTAGAGAAAGCTATGGGAAACCATGGAGTGTTGAGAGCCTTCTGGCTGCTGGGTATCTGCTCTGTGGGAATGGGGTGGGATGGGCAGGATGAGAAGAAGCAGGGAGACTAGACAGGAGACTGTTGAGTGATCCAGGAAAGAAATGGAGCTATCTGTTTAAAATCAGTAACTTCTTCTAGGCTTTCTCTTATTTTGGAAGCATTAAAACAGGTTGGTGATCTAATTATGCTAGCTAGAGCTGACTCTACTGTAGAGTATGGGATCATTTATGGTAGCCCTGAGCACCAGATCAGAGGGTGTCTACAGCTGTGCTCCGACTTATTGAATCTTGGCAATGTATGTAGTTCACATTGTTGTTTTGGGCCATGTTTACTTTTCCCGTGTTGTTTTTAACTGTATGAACCCCTATTGTTCCTCATTAATCTGTTTATTTATTTAAAAAAATGTCAGGTCCATCTACTATGTGGCAGGCATTGGCCTAAGTGCTGGGTATACAGCTGTGAATGAAATAGGAAGGGTCCCGGTCTTAAGAAACCTGTGTATACATAGCAGTGTTTCAGGTACTGTGGGGAGATACAAACAAATACATATGTGTGTTTATATATACATTTTTTTCCAGGTGTTGGTCTTCCTCAAATGAGGACATTTTAGTTGTTCACAAATAACATTTATTAAATATATTTGAAAAAATTATTTCCCGTGCTCATTTCAGTCTTTGTTCAAGAGCATGAAAGATATTTTGTGTAATGAAAGCTATTGCTGCTTCTGAGTTATAAAGAAAACATAACTTATTTTTAAGCAGTGATTTTGTTCTCGATTTTCGAATTAATGTTGCAGCTATATCAGGACTATAATAGTTTATACATTTGTATAATATGAAATTATATATCTCTCCTACTAGATTGTTAGTTCTGTGATTCAAGGAACCTATTTGTTTTTGTTCACCATTGTATTCCCAGCACATGATCCATTCCTGGCACATAGTAAGTGTTTACTAAATATTTCTGGAAGGAAGGAAGGAGGGAGGGAGGGAAGGAAGGAGGGAGGGAGGGAGGGAGGGAAGGAAGGAAGGAAGGAAGGAAGGAAGGAAGGAAGGAAGGAAGGAAGGAAGGAAGGAAGGAAGGGATTTGTTTAATTTTCTAAAGCAAATTTGAAGTCCATCTTTCCCATCATATTACTTAGCAGAGGAGAAAGCACACCAGAAGAAAATGAAGACTGAGTTTACAGGGATTGTCCTGAGGTCATTTAGTTGATGTTGTTTTGATGTTTATGCAGTCCTGGTTGAGGTTTTTAAAACTATAGTGGCTGTTCTGAGACAGTGCAAGATTCTGGCATATTAGTATATATTTAGAAAGTACACTATACATTATTTTAAATATTTCAACAAAATACTTAAAGAGTATTTTCTGGTTTACTTTGCATCTCACTTCTGGTATTTTCAAGCCAGTTGAGGTATTTCTGTATAAATATGAAGTCATTCTCTGTTAAGAGACTATCCAAAAAAAGATGTTTCAGGTTTTTAAAAAACTAAAAGCTTTTGCACAGTTTTGCTTTACAAAAATAATTATTTTGAAAAGCATGCATATATGCTAAAATACTTTTTTAACAGTGAAAAATGAAACTACTTTAGGTTGTAACATTAAGCCATCTGTAGATAGACAGATATCCATGTAGCACATTCATTATTCCATTCTTGTCTTAACGAGGCAGTGTTTATAAAATCTTCTTACTGGTCCTCCTTCATAATCTTTTTTAGATTTCTCCCTGGCTCCTCAATTTGTTTCTACTTTTCCTTAAGCCCCCTAATCAACTCCAGCACAATTTCCTTCCAGTTTTTATCTTAATGGACTTCCTGAGGTGTGTACTTCTAGATCTGACCTGGGGTTGGGAGTGAGAGAGAGGAAAGCTTTTGATTTTTAATGGGTCCACATGCACATAAGGAAGTTGCCTATACACTGAAAGCGGCAAAGCTGGTGTAGAAGTCGGGTTGGATGGAGAAACTGTTGAGTCAGGCCATCATTGGCTGAGTGAGGAGAGATTGGCAGGAGACTGCAGGGATAGGAGGGTGAAGGATAGTATGGCCAAATTTTAAGAACTTTTTTGATTGAGGGCAAGTTTTTATTTGCAGGTGAGAGTGTGGTGGTTTAGAAGTGGCAGCAGGGAGCTAGAAGGTGCTAAAGGTTGAAGAGATAAGGAGTTTCTAACAGAAATCAGTTCCTAGTAGGAGCACCATAAAGGGTTAGGAAAGAAGACAGCCCCTAGGCTGAGAAAAGAAAGAAGGTACAGAGCAAATGAGAGTAGTAGGAGACTGGGGTTGAGGGGTGGGGTAGTATTTCAGGGATGGAGAATTATTGCATTGAGAGGCAAGGTTAAAGCTAGTTGACTTCTGTTATTTGAACTTTGGTATAGAAGACTAATCCAGTGGCGGACCCACCTGAGGGATCCAAGCATGACTCGGCTTGGTCTCAGAGAAATGGTGTGGGTGACCAGAAGGTTTTACAGAGGGGCAGACTGTCTCTGTGTCAGGGGTAGTGCAGTGACTTGTGCAGTGGGAAAAAAACCAGTGGACACATGACATACCAAGTTAAAGATCACTTAGCTGTTAACTCTGCATAGGCTAAAGCAGTAACTTTTAGGGCTCAGGGCTTGTATTTTTCTTAAAAATAACATAGGAATGAAACCATGTGGTTCTTAGCTTTTTCTGACAGACTTATTTCACTTAGCATAATATCCTCAAGGCCTATCCATGTTGTGGCAAATGGCAGTATTTCCTCTTTTCTTATGGCTGAGCACTCCATTGTATATGTGCACTGCATCTTCTTTACCCAGTCCTTTGTCAGAGGTCACTTTGGTTGTCTCCATCTCTTGGCCACTGCGCATGATGCTGCAATGAACATATGGGTACATATGACTTTGTGAATAAATGTTCTTGAGTTTCTCAGGTAGATACCCAGAAGAGGGGTTGCTGGGTCATATGGTAACTCTATTTTTAGTTTGAGGAACCGCCTTACTGATGATTTGACTTTGGGTGGTAGGCACACAGTATAGATCATGTATCATAGGAGTGTACACTTGAAACTTGTATGATTCTATTTAACCAATGTCACCCCAGTAAATTTAATTGAAAAATAACATAGGGAGTTCGTTTAAAGCTAATCAAATCCCTCAGGACAAATATATAACAGAGAAATTAAGCGTGGCTCCAATTTCAGTCTTACTATTATTGTATTTGAGTTGCAGTCCAACGGGGGTTAAGTAAATTGCCTGTGACATGTGATGATTAGAGATGGGCCCATAATGTAGATCCAAACAGTCTTGCACCTTAAATGTGATGCTATTTAAATGTGATACTTGGTCTTTGTGACACCAAGATTAAACTCATGCTTTATATTCATATATCTCCTGAGAAGTATTTTCACTTGTTCCCATTTTATTTTTATAGTCACCTTTCAAAGGAAGATGGTATTCCATTTTACAGATAGGAAAATCAAGACTTTTGATTATTGTGGGGGTTGAATATTTTCTCATGTTTCTTACCCTTTTGAATTTTGTTTCTATGAACTGTTGATTTGACGTCCTTTGCCCACTTTGCATTTTCTTTTGTATTGGCTCTTTATATGCAGAGGATGTAAACATCTTGTCATACTGTAATCTTCGTGGGATAATAGACTAGATGAGCTAATAAAAGGCCATTGCTTCTAGTCATCCTAGTACATTATGTAAATGTGTGAATATAGGTTATGCCCTTTCCTCATGGATCAGTATTATCTTTTTAAAAAATATTCTCATTCATCTTAACTTTATTTCCCCAAATTCAGTCATAATTCTTAGATGTGAAAGATATTTATTCCATAAGTTACTAACACTACCATACATTTTTACTTAGTTCTGATGGAATACTAGATATTCTTTTTTTAATTTGGCTTTTTATTGAAGTTATTAATTCTGAAGTAATTCTCTAATATATTTTTATTTTTAGAGCTTTTTGACAACTACATGCAGCAGGATGCCCATGAGTTCTTAAATTACCTACTAAATACAATTGCCGATATTTTACAAGAAGAGAGAAAGCAGGAAAAACAGAATGGCCGTCTGCCCAATGGCAGTGTGGACAGTGAGAACAACAACAGCACACCAGACCCAACTTGGGTTCATGAGATTTTTCAGGGAACATTAACTAATGAAACCAGATGTCTTACTTGTGAAACTGTAAGTATATTGTAACATTTTGTATAGAAAATAATGTAATTCATTATCTATTGTGAAAGTTCTTTGAGGATAAGTGTAAGAGATGAACTTGGAAGTTGTCAAGTTGTCCTTCTTAGATGTGTGGTAAATGTAAAGATGAACTTGTCAGTTGAAAAAAATCTCTACACATTTCCATAATGCTGCTTATGTAAACACTTGCCGTGACAGAAAAATACTGATTGCCGTTTGAGCTGTTTGATTTTGTTTCTGTTTAGGAGGCCATAGGACCTTGTCTGGAAATTGTTTTAGTTAAGCTTGTAAGAAACTTACAGGCCCAGGAGGTATATTATTTTGTTTTTCATCTTCTACAATTATGTTTATTGTTTATGGTTGTAATAAAAACTAAAGCATACTGTGTATATTCAAATAGGGGAAGATACCCACTTGCCGGGTACAGTGTCGTCTCTAATCTGCAGAAGTACATTCCAAGACCCCGAGTGGGTGACGTTGAACCTCTTTTCATAGGCTTATTTGCCATCCATGTATCTTCTTTGGTGAGGTGTCTGTCTGGGTCTTTTTCCCATTTTTAAAATTGGGTTGCTTTTTAAGAGTTCTTTATATATTTTGGATGCCACTCTCTTATTAGATGTCTTTTGCAAATATTTTCTACCAGTCTTCTGTCTGTCTTCTCATTCTTTAAACAGTATTTTTGGCAGGTCAGAAGTTTTTAATGTTTGAATTTTAAGATTTTAATTTTAGTAAAGTCCAATTTTTTGCTTCACAGAAATGATGTTGGTGTTCTCAAAGTGCTTTTGGTGTTGTATCTAAAATTTTCACCAAACACAAGGTCATCTACATTTTTCTCCTATGTTAATCTTTTAGGAGTTTTATACTTTGCATTTTATAATTCATTTTGAGTTAATTTTTGTGAGAAAAGTAAGGTCAGTGTCTAAGGGTTTTTTTCTTTTGCATGTGTTGTTTCAACACAACGTGTTTGGAAAAAATCATAACTTAAACCAATGAGTGATCTGTTCGGTGTTTATGGATTGATATTTTTACCTATGACTTGGCATTTGCAGAATGATCATTGTCAAAACTACAATTTTAATTAATGAAGGACACAGCAGTAAAATAAAATTCCCTTTTCTAAATAGATTTTTATTGGTGAGCCTCTTTCAGGTCAAGTGAAAGAGTATGACAGAGCTTAAATACATCAACAACCTGCGAAGGTGTTTTGGGGTGTAGAGAGGGGTTGTCTTACGTGTGGGCTTTGTCCATGGCCGCAGCTGTCAGTTGCTTGAGGTAGTGGCTTTGACTGGTCAGTGTTTGATGTTGGGGATTGGGCTCAATACTCATCTTTATTCAATCAAATCGACTGCAGTTATTTTTTAATTAAATTTATTGGGGTGACATTGGTTAATAAAATTATATAGGCTTCAGGTGTACAATTCTGTAACACATCATCCATGCATTACATTGTGTGTTCACCACCCTGAGTCGAGTCTCCCTCTATCACCATTGATCCACCTTTACCCTTTTCTACCTCCCTCACCTGTTCCCTCTCAAGTTACTTTAACACAAGTTTGGGTTTTTTATGTATGTTACGCAGAAAAATTTTGACATAGCTGAATTCTAAGCTTTAGGAAACATATTGCTGAACTATTGGAGCAGTATTTCAGTTGGAATAGTAGGTGTAAATCAGAGAATTTGACCATTGCTTGATTTTTTTAAGAGAGAAAGAGGGGAAGGTGGGTGGGGGGAGAGAGAAACATCAATTAAGTGTTCCACTTATCTACACATTCATTGATCGCTGCTTGTGAGTGCCCTGACAGGGATCAAACCTGCAACTTTGGTATATCAGGGCAGTGCTCTAACCAACTGAGCTAGGCCAGGCCAGGTCCTTAATGGTATAATGGTATTTGGTCTGTTTTAGAAGTTATGTTTAGTTCAACCTTCTTCAATGAAATAGAAAATAATTGAATTTGCTTATTAGCATGTTGAGAAATGCAGCAGTAGGTAAAGCTGGCAAAGTGGATTTGGGACCTTGTATGGAGGTCTTTGGGGCACTATGCTAAAGATAAACTTGGAAGTTTATTTTGTGGGATGGGGGAAAAGTTGTATTAGCCATTGTTGCTAGTGCTCAAATATTTATTAATTTGATTTGTAATGGGTAGACAGTGCACCCATTTTTCTACTAGGTCCTCCTATGGCCTATAGTATATATTTGCAGGTAGTCTCCCAAGAATGAAGGGTTTGAATTGAGAATACTTTTTTATAATCTGAGCTGTCATTTTACATATTCAGGAGATGCTCATTCGTGCCAAAATAATGATACCATTTCTTCATTTTGTTTTGCACAAATACTGAAGTACCAATGGTGCCAGGTGGAAGATGGGTAGAGGTTGGGGAAGATGAGTAAGACAAAATTTCTGGTCTCAAGTTTGCTGATAGAGTAGTGATGTCCAATCAGCAGCTAGTCAGGCAATTCTAAGACAGTCTGTTATGGTTTAGGGAAGCGCTAGTTGCTGTGGAGCCAGGAAAGAGTAGACCTAATCCAGGTAGGAGGGAGAGGCATTTGCAAAGGCTCAGGATGAACTTCCAGGAGAAGACAGAGCTTGCATGACAGATTTTAATAACGTGTTTGTTACTCTCCAGTTGGTGGGAAGCTGGTTTCTGTATCAACACCCCCTTCCACTGTTTTCTGTTCTGTGATGGTTCCTTTTTGATCTCATTGCCTGGCTTTTCTTTTGTTTATCCTTTAAAGGCAGATCTCCTCCAGAGTTTCGATTTGGGCAGCCTCTCACTCTATATTGGGAGAGTCATGTTCCATTTTCATTACCACTGTGCCAATGATTCCCTGGCCAGACTTGCTCACTGAGTGTTAGACCTATATCTCCCAGATACTGGGTGTGACCCCACATTGGGACGTAGCAGCCCAGCAATAACCAGACATGTTTACAGACACGTAAGAGTGAAATGCTGCTCCATTTGGTGATCTCCTGGCACCAACACAGCTGTGAATACAAACACAGTAACTCAGATACATCCAGATGATCCTTAATGTTAAATTTTTTATGTTACCACAAAAATGAAAATTTAAGATGAAGACCCCTGAGGCAGTGTCTGAGAACCATAAACCTCCCTGAGAACCACCAGACTTTTTCATCTTTATTTCCCTTTAGCCCTGCCTTATCTGATATGAAGCTGATCCAATGCAAAGCCCTGAGTGATCTGGCTTTAGCCTACCTCAACCACACTATCTCTTGTCACCTTACCCACTTTCCTTCAATACTGAGCTAATTATTTTTCCTTAAACACATCATGTTTCCTTTCCCTTTTATTTGTCTTTTCCCCTCCTTTCTTGCTGAATCTTTTGAGACCCAGGTAAGTTATCTTGCAGTATATATACATACTCCTGTTTATTCCTATTTGCACAGGTATCTAATACCTATGTAGCCCCATAATCTGTCACAAACTAATGATACTAAGCTTATAGCAGCAATGCAGTATTGAAGCAGGAAGGCATTAACTCAGTTGGGTGTATAGTCACTGTGGGTAGAGGCACAGGGAACTGAGAATTTTCCCCTGTTGCATGGTCGGTCACCTTGGGCAGAGTCCCTGAAGGAGGAAGTAGCAAGGAAACGGATGTCTGAAGCTGTGGTCTGGTCCAAACTGAAGGAATAAGTAGTAACCATTTTTATAAGGTGATTTGCCTATAAGTCAAACAGAATTTTGTATTTGATTTTTTAAAAAGAAATAAAAGGTCATAAATAAAGATTGGTATTTGGCATTTTGGGCTAAGTTATTTTCTTAAATGATAAAACAATACAGGTGTCACATCCTTTGCCAAGCATTCTCATTCACTCTTGGTGTGTTTTTAAGAATTGGTGCATATGGAATAGTTTGTTTCATGCTTTACGATAACACCAAGACTTTGGAAAGTAATTGAGTTTCACATTATGCTAGCTTTTGCCAGTAAGAGAATCAGTCACAGTTGTACCTTGGTGTTTTACCTGTACAGATAATGAAAGTTATTTATTCAGTGTTCTTTTGAATAATGCAAATCAAGTCATTTTCCTTTGAACTTGGGGAAAAAGAATTCTTCATACACTTACTACCAATATTAGAAGTCATTTGTTTTATCAGTTTGGAACAGTAGTTTACTGATACTTGGAAAAAATCAAAGGTAATTCCCTATTTTCACAGATAAGCAGCAAAGATGAAGATTTTTTAGACCTTTCTGTTGACGTGGAACAAAATACATCAATTACTCACTGTTTAAGGTAAGTGTAGATTTATTCATTGTGAAATTTAATGAATATCTTCAGTTTAGAGTATTTCTAAATGAATACATGATTCTTCTGTTGTAGACGAAATAAATTTATTTTGAATTGTACACAGGGGTTTTAGCAACACAGAAACTCTGTGCAGTGAGTACAAATACTACTGTGAAGAATGTCGCAGCAAACAGGAAGCACACAAACGGTAATGTAGTATTTTTGGAATTTTTCAGTGATTCTTTGACAGTGGGTGTTGTAGATGGGCTTTTCTAGCTGAAAGTGATCTGTGAAAATTTACTTTGAATAAATATTTTTTTATTTTATCACCAACAGTCAGGACTCACTAAGTAATTACTAGATAACTGATAATTCAACTCTGTAACCTTAGTGATTTTTCTGTATTTAACAATTGTTTAATAATCATGAACCACCACAGTTAAAGTATTTGATTTGAAAACTTTCTTGATTATGTAAACTTCTTTCTTGGTGAGGGACAAGGGACTTTTCTTAGCCCCATCCTAGTCTCTGCAGTTCTTACACTGGATTTTATACCTTCTCTTAGTATATCATCATAGAGATGGGAATTCAGTACCAAGAAAGGGAGTCATCATCATCACCCTTGTTATTTTACTTTGTGCTTGGAAACAATCTCCGACTCAGAGGAAAGTTGCAGGACCAATGCCAAGAATGCTTTTTTTACCCTAAACCATTTGAAAGTAAGGTCCTGATGTGATGTCCCATGATTTTGGACACTTTAGTAGCGATTTCCTACCAGTATAGAAGTTTTCCTATGTACTATGTCCATCCAAGTCAGGAAAGGAACACTGACATGTTACTGTTTAGTAGACCTGACTTTAGTGTCACTAATGTCCCAATAATGTCCTTTATTGGAAAGAGGATCCAGTCCGAAATCACACATTGCATTTAGTATTTATGTCTGTTTAGTCGTTTACATTTGGGACTGTTCCTTAGTCTTTTCTTGACTTTAATAATCTTGACACTTTTCAAAATTACAGATTAGTAGTCTTGTAGAATGTCCCACTTCAGGTTCATCTTATGTTTTCTCAGATTAGGTTTGGGTTATGGGAAGTTTACAGAACTGATGCTGTTCTCACTGCATCCTGTTGAGTGGCGCATAATTCTACTTTGTGTCGTGTTGGGGTTCTCCTGTGACACTCCTGGATTTGGTAGTCACTAGAAGGACTGAAAGGACTCAGCATGTGCAGTCACATTCACAGCTAAAATTTAATACAGGGAGAGGTGACAGAGCACAGTCAGCAAGGAAAACCAGGCAGGCTCCCAAGAGTTTTGTCCCAGTGGAGTAACACAAGACGCATTTAACTCCTCCATGTTCTGCATGAAGCATATCATTTGTCTGAGCAGTTTTGGCACATTGAGCCCCACCCTGGTGGGACCACTCTCTGAATCCAAGTTCCTGGCAGTTAATGGTAGACCATCCTTGCAAGCAGACCTTTCTCTCCAAGGACTGTGTGAGGGCTGCTCTGTTACCTTTTTTCTTAACACTCCATTACCGATGCTGTTGTCTTTGAATACTTGATTACGGTGATGTCTTTCAGAATTCTCCACTATAATCTGTGCTTCAAACTTGTAATATTTTTCATTTTTTGAAATCTTGTGGACCCAGAGATTCCTATTTTACTCAGTGGGTTATGATCCACTACCATTTTTTAATGTATTTTCATGCTGAAATTATCTCTGATTTGGCTAGTAGGAGCTTCTTCAAGTTGGCTCCTGCATCTTTTTCACATGACCCATAGTTCTTGAGCACTTCCTTCCTTTTTAGCACAAGATTTTCCAGACACGTCTTGTACTTTCCTCGCCCCCACCTTGACACTCCCCACTTCTCCAAGGAGCCCTGTTTCCCTTTATGGAGAGAATGATGTTTAGGAACCAGGACCTTGGTCAGGTGTTCCTTGGGTACAGGCTCATGGCCATTGGGATGCCCCAGCTCCTGAGCCCCTTAGTGGACAGAGGTGGAGAATATGTGTGGATGTGTACACACATGCGTGCATGTCTAGTCATACATGTAAATACCTGTTTTTACTTATCTGTTGAGAGGTCCTTTTGAAACACTATGATTTCATGGTGATTATTTCCAATTTCAGCCAACAGGAGAGGGTTCATTCTAGTTTTTTCCCGTTTAATATTTGATTCTTTTCTTTGACAGGAAAAATCAGCTTCCATTATCCTAATGTATTTACTTATTTGCTATTTAGTCATTGCCCCTGTAGGTGACCAATCTTATCCCCTTCATGTACATAGAAGCACCGTCCTCTCATATTCATGTAGATATGTTGGTTACTCTGCTTGGGCTGTCACTCTCCCCTACCCACACAGATGTCTGTCTTCCATGGCCCCACTAATGTTTGAACTGAAGTGTCCATGAAGGGAAGGGAAAGAACTGACTTTTTTTTTTAAGATTCTACTTATTTATTTTTAGAGAGAGGGGAAGGGAAGGACAGAGGGAGAGAAATAGCTATGTGTGGTTGCCTCTCGTGCACCCCCTGCTGGGGACCTGACCCTCAACCCAGGCATGTGGCCTGACTGGGAATCGAACTGGTGACCCTTTGGTTCATAGGCCATGCTCAATCCACTGGCTACACCAGCCAGGACAGAATTTACATTTTTAAATGATTCTTTTTTTGTTTTTGTTTGGGACACAGACTTTATTGGGAAGGGAAGTGTTTTGGTAATGGATGTAGGTAATCAAAACAGATTATTCAGTGTTCCTTTCAGATATATTAGATTAATCCTGAAAATGTTGTACAAGTGCCTGAGACTATTGGTTAAGGAAGACAGAGTCAAGAACTAAAGGTAGCTCAAAGGAATGTAACTCAAATTTTATTGGCTAGATGGGGACAGGCCCACCTGTGAGCGTAAGCCAGTCTTCATACAGCATAAGCAACTAACTGTACATGAGTGATTAAAGATTGTCTACAGTCAAGCTGCTTGTTTTGAAGATATACGTGAGATTTTATATATTATTTATATTAACCTTTTATTAAATCACATGAGGAATATAGGTTCTTTGTACAGGTATTAGAAAATATAGCAAAGTATAAATTACTTGAGTTATTCCTGGAAACACTTAACATTTTTATATGAATCCTAGATGTTTTAAGTGCACATGTATATACTCATATAATTCTTGAAATGGTATCAAACTTTAGAGTTTTGTAACTTTTTTTACTTACCAAATTACAACCATGTCAGTGATTATAAATTTTATGTCAGTCTTAAGAAGTGCCATGTATATTTTTTCTATGAACATAACAGTGTAAATCTACCAATCCTCTGAATCTAACCATTTAGATTGTTCCCATTTTTTTCACTGTTTGGTGCTTTGATGAACATATTTTTTTTATGTATACATACACCTCAACCCACATATGTTTAGACAGATTTTAGAGTATTTCTATAGGACAAATTATGTGGAAGTCCATGGAAAGACACCAGTACAGAAATTACGTACTTTCCACTAGGATGGAGTATCAACCCTTCTAATAACTTGCAGTGTGATATTGGACAAGGCTTTTTGGATCTCACTTGGATTAGCTGATTTCTAAGATCCCTATCATCTCTAAAAGTCTGTAGTTTCTAGTCTCAAAATAAGATTGTGTTGTATGTACAGATCATAGTTTTTATTAAAGAAACGAAAATTAATTTGATTTAAAAAGGTTTCAATCTGGATAGACAAAAACCACATCATCATTTAAGCAGATGCAGAAAAAGCCTTTGACAATCCTGGCTGGTGTGGCTCAGTGGATTGAGTGCTGGCCTGCGAACCAAAAGGTTGCTGGTTCGATTCCCAGTCAGGGCACATGCCTGGGTTGCAGGCCAGGTCCCTGGGTGGGGGCACACAAGAGGCAACCAATTGATGTATCTCTCGCACATCGATATATCTGTGTATCCCTCTCTTTCTCCTTCCCTTTCCAGCAAATGTGAATACAGTGGAATATTATTCAGCCTTAAAAAGAAGGAAATCATCTCACATGCTACAACATGGATGAAGCTTGAGTGCATAAGTGAAATAGGCCAGTCACAAAAGACAAATTCTGTATAGTTCCAGTTTTATGAAGACTCTAAAGGAGTCAGGTTCTAGAAAGTAAAATGGTGGTTGCTAGGGTCGGGGAAAAGGAATGGGGTTGTACAGTGGGCACAGTCAGTGAGATGAAGAAGATCTCGATCTATTGCACAACAACGTCCATGCATCTAAAATTACTGAGCCTTAAAAAGGATTAAGATGGTCAAGCTTATGTGTTTTTTACCCTCAATAAAAACTACACATGAAGTTTCATTCATGATATATATTTGAATTAATATAAAGACGTTGTATTTAAAAAGTTTCAGTTTGGAAACACTGGAGAATGATTTCTGAAATCTTATTAATATGCCATAAAGTACCATATTTTTAGGACCATAAGATGCACCTAGGTTTTAGAGGAGGAAAATAGGAAAAAAAATTTTGAAGCAAAAAATGTGGTATTTAATAACATAAATAACATAATATTTCACCAATCGGTGTAAATTTAAACTACATTTATTACCCAGGTAAGCTACATTCGGACTATAAGATGCACCCCCCCCCTTTGCTCCCAAATTTGGGGAAGAAAAAGTACATTTTATAGTCTGAAAAACACAGTAAATATTCTGTGATCCAATGAATTTGCTACATAATAACATTTCCTGGTAGTTTATGCTTCATATTGTAGACCCTGAGAAGACTCACAGAATAGAAGAAATGTACTATTATCTAGCTTTTTACAGAATTTATTTGCACATAGACTCCTTTCATACAGCATACTTACTGAACTGTGTATAGCACAGTCCAGGGAAAATATTAGCTTGGTAAATGGGATGTAACAGTCATAGACTTTCATCCAGCGGGACCATAGAGTACACAGGAAAATGGAAGGATGTCCCTGGGGAACTGGAATGAAAAAGGATTTGATGGCTTTGTTTCAGGTGGTATTTCCCTCTCCACTGGGCCTTGGGGAGGGAATGGTGCTGCAATTTTTAAAGAGCAATATTTCTGTTGCTTCTCTCTCACTTTGATGATGAGTGACCATGGACTGGGAGCTGAGCCAGTCTGACTGGCTCCCTGCCTACACAAGCTTCCTTTCTTTTTATTTGCCGTGTTCTCCCTTTATCCCATACTTGGCTTAGCCCACTTCTAGGACCAAA